TGTGTGTGTGTTTTTCTTTGAAAATGTTTCACTTCACATCCAAGAAGCTTCTTCAATTCAACAGAAGAAACTTCTTGGATGAGAAGTGAAGGGTTTTCAAAGAAAAACACAAACAAAGAAAGTCTAGTTGCCTTTTAGAAAAAGCAGCTTTGGGATAACCATGACCGGGATGTTTGAGAATCTCCATAGATAATTCATTCAGAGGTCCAAACAGGTGACAAACTGAAGAGGCCTCTAGATGCCAGTGTTTCTTCTTAGAAAGATATGTTGAAATGGGCTTTACACAGAATCAAAAGAGGCTTCAGTTTAAAGGGAAGTTTTATTATTTTGGTCATGAATGCAGTGAAACCCCAAACCTTCCAAAAGTTACTACATCTACTCAGTGCTGATAACATCATCACTGTTACCTCTCTGTATTAATTGAATTTTTTTTCTGAGATGACAGAGATAACAGCAAATGTAGTGAGTTTTTCATTCTGAGGAGCCTTGATGGTGTCCATCAGTCATTAATTTTATTTGGAGTCCGCTACTTCATACAAGATGGATTCAGACATTAAGACAATCATAGCATGGCTTATTTTTAAGTTAAAGTGACACATGAAAGCAGCCATTTTAGTCTATAAATTATTCATTTATTAATTTAATGTGTGAACCTAGTCAGATGCACCTTATCCAACAAACCATAGCTTAGCACCTTAGCATCTGTGTCCAATCACAGATTTCACAATAAGGTTGCAACAAAGGGAATATATGCTCACCCACACAGAGGTACATACACATTATAGATATCCATATCTATATGATTAAATAGAATAGAATAGAAACCTACCTTATATGGGAGTCATCTCTAAAGGAAAAATCAGGACGTGTCAGATTGTGCAGATTACATAAATTGGATTTGAGAGAAGTTCCCCCACCCTCCGAAGAGCTCAACTTTATTACTGTTTTATTTCAGGATGGTGTCCTGATAGCCCCATACAGGGCTGATAGTAAGACTGGCCACTGCTCTGTTGTGAGAAGTATTTTAAATGGGAGAAATAGTGACAAACAGAATCAGGCACGTTAGCCGTCTGTGGTCTTGTTTACAGAAAACTTCTCAAAGTCAATCATTTCACAGTCCATCACTTTTTGTAACAGCATAACAAATTGACTTGATAAGAAAAATGTATCCATGCAGGCTGAAAAGCTTTCAGAGGCACTCCCATAAGACATTTTTTATACGGCCCCCCAGAGAAATGTGGGTTAGACAAAACAGCCATCAGCCAAGTGCTCAGCTGGTTGAAAACAGCACTTCTCCAGCCTGTATTAAGAGGATAATGGCAATCAATATTTATCTAGTCCTAATCGTTTCTCCTCATAATACTCCGTGTTCATTCAAGCAATGCGTCAGAGTCAAGCAACACCACCTCTTTCTTATATTATTCAGCATTAATGAAGGAAAAGAGGAATATTCTCATTGGGCATTTGTTTTTCTCCCCGTGCGGTCAAGTTCATTTCCAAGTGCCTACAGAGACATGTTGTTTTCTTGACTACAATATGGGTTTCCTTGTTTCTTCTACAGATCAATGTACTTCGTCCCCATCTAGCCCATGATGCTGGGATATTCTAATGGTTTGATAAATAAAATAACAGCCATACATTTTACAAACTTTACTTTGGTAGTTGTAGAGGAAACTGCTTTTTGGTGTCAGACTTCCATGAGAATTCACTCACCAGCTTAATCTTGGATAAGTGAATTCCCATGGATTTTACATCCATAGTTGGTCTTGTTTAGTGGCTGCTTTGTTTATGCAATTTGCAATTATGACTGTGATG